CACAGATTGTCTTTTTAATGATTCAATATTCCTTTAAAGCAAACAGTTCTACTCAGCAGCATTTAATTCTAAAGACATTTCAGTCTAGCTAAAGGGCAATCAGTGTGACGTTTACATTCCTGGCAAATAATCTGCTGAGTATTCAGATCATAAATCATTAAAGGTGTAGAGCCTGAGCAGAGTCCTTAAAGCTTGACAGAACACTTCATATCGGATAAATCCATAGAGATACTTTTGTGCAGGGTTGACCAATTAGCATTTTGGTAGCTTGTTTTGCAATTTGTCAATAGTCAGATTTCAATCCTTTTAAGCAATTCCTATTAGGTTTGCTTCTTATCCAGAGTATTTGAACATGCATCAGTCAAATGTTGGAGATCTTTGTGTGGACTGAGAAAACATATCACTACATTAACTTTACTGTGATATCATTATTTGTAGTATCTTATATGATCAAAATGTGGTTGACCACTTGAAGAAGTCTCAGACTAATGGACTGATCATTCCACCTTAACATTTGTATTTCATATTTGTGATTAAGAGGAAGTGTGGCCATTGTGTATACAGATGTTGGCACTGAATACGACTCTGAAATGTATGTTTGTATAAATGTAAGGTTAAGAGTGCCGTTTTTCTGCAAGCTGTGGAAAAAGTGACTGAGTCTGAAGTGATGAAAAAAGCTTTGCCAACAGTAACACCATTGTGAATTTTTCAGTGTGTTCGAGGGTTGAGTGGCTTTTGATCAATAAACTAGCTGGTACACATTAGGAAATGATTGGAGGCTGAATAAAAAATGTGGATTCTGCTACCAGACTAATGGAAGGGTAATTATATTAAAGGGATAACGTCACCGTGTCTGAAGAGCGCTGTGAAGTCATTGGGCCAACAAGAGAGGACGGACTGAAGCAAAGACCGGATAATGCGCTCTCATCCTAGATCGATGAATTTCACCGTACGGGGAAGACACACACACACACTGTTTTGTAAAACTTACTATTCAGCATGTTGTGCGTCACTGTAAATAAATGAAAGCTTTCTGTTATGGTCCTGTGTTTGTAGACAAACTAATTTTTGAGTATTAAACTATGTTTCCAGTTCCTGCTTGTGCATCCATCCTATTTGTTGTTGTTGTTGTTGTTTGTGATAATTCATTTATTGGACAATGTGTGTAAGATCACAGACAGTGTTGGGAAATTCATCTTATTCTGGAGTGGGATCTATATAAGGGACTTAAAGCTGGTATCTCTGTATGGGGCATATATTTTGATTCTTCTTCTTTAATCAGTTTTTGCAGATTGAAATAGGGCAATAAATGTCTCGCATATTGTGTTTATGTTTGTGTATTTGTGTTACTATAGTTTTAAGGCCAGGCAAAAGGGGCAAGCAATTGGATCCTTATAAAGAGGCCCTACCTGAATTTCCCCTTGGGGATAAAATAAAGGTTAATCTACTTCTTCTTATATGCTTTTTGGGGGTTTTCCCTTTCCTGTAATGTGTGTAATAGGTTTGTGTGCATGTAAATGGTCTGCAAAGGCTAAAATCCCAAATTTCTCTAGCGCACACTCTCCCCACAAAATACAATATGAACCTGAAAATTAGCACAATTTATCCTCTTGACATTTTCAATTTCCAGAGTAAAGTCAAAATGTTGAGAATACAGTTGAAATGTAACTCAGGTCAAGATATTGGTTAATAAAGTTGAATACCATTTCTATCGATAAACAACTAGCAGCGTTAGCGCTTATATTGAAGGTATTACTCTCTTAACATTTTGACTTTGCCATCGACATTTCAAATTTACATTATATGTTGTATTCTTGGAGTAGCCTGCGACTTATGACAGTCATTGCTAAAACATTGCTCTGGCCAGTGGCGGTTCTAGACCAATTTGACTGGGGGGGCCAGGTTGGGGTCAGTTATTTTCTGAGAGGGGCACAATATATGCAGGACGAAAAAGACAAAGACAGTATGAAGTAATTGCGCATAAGAAAACAATGCAAAACAGTTATTGGTACACATATTTATTTCAGATACTTATAGTTACAGTTTTTACGCTCTAATGGGTCCGACTAGAATGACAAATAACGTTAGTTCCGCCTATTCCGTCAGCCATCCTGGCTATGGCTATTGTGCATACGACAATAAAGCCTTTGACTCTTGGATCTTATCCCTGACATTTCAACCTTATCTTGAAATGTAAAAATGTTTTCCCCTTTAATGTTATACCCCATGACTGGCCCTATACTCTGCTGTGAAGTGTACAGGAGAGAGAAAGTAAAACAAATCATTCTGTTGTGATGCGATGCAACATTGTGGCATAAACACAGTTTATGCCATCCGGAGCGAGTGAAAAGGTAATGGGAGCAAGAAGAGTTGAGCCCTAAAGCAGCACAATTACAGCCCATTACAGAGAGACACACACACACACACACACACACACACACACACACACACACACACAGCACACACACACACACCACACACACACACACACACACACACAACCACACCACACACACACACACAAACACACACACACACACACACACACACACATATATATACAGTTCTGTGTGTGTGTGTGTGTGTGCGTGTGTGTTTGTCTGTGTATGTATGTTCATGCAGATTTAGAAAAGAGAGGAATGGGATTAACCTCTGGAGTAAGGGTATTTTCTCGATTTTTAGATGTTTTCTTAAATCACCTTTTAAATGTATTTCTTCTAACATGGCACATGTGTTCAATATCAAAATGTTCGGACAATCTCTGGTATTGCTATATATGCAAATTACTCACCTTAGAGCACTGTTTGATGAGATAAGTAGCTCAAAAGCTTAAAATTTGACATCCGATTTTTGGAAAATCTTCAAACCTTTGTGAAAACACAAATTTAACTCATGTGATCGAATTGTTTTGGTGTTTTAGATTAGGTTACCAAGTCTTAGGATCACAAAAGCAGTGAAATATTTGAATTACACTGTATATAAATGTGTTATTCATGTCTAAAATGAAAAAATTAAATTCGAATTTTGAGTAAAATAGGTGTTATCACTCTACTTTCACCACACAGGGACTGAGATACATCAGGACTGAATAATGACTTCATATTACATACCAAGGTTCATGTGATGTGTACAAATACAAATTGAGCATTCAAACCTTTTTTTCAACCAACTATTTATTATAAATATGTTTTTTTCAACCAACTATTTATAAAATATAAGAAACTGGAAAATCTAACTATTTACAATATTGAACCATCAGAACTTTCAACCAAACTATTCATTATAAATGTCAAGACAGTGTCAAGGTCTTTGTCTGTCTTCCAAGACAGGGGTCTGGCTGCTGTGAAGATGGGGGTGATTGTGCATGGGCTGCTGTGTAGGTGGGTGTGTACAAGTGCTATACGAGACCTCCACGAGACCTCCTTGCTGGCTGGGGTGAAGGTGATGGCTGTGGTGGAGCCTTTGTGCTGAGGTGTATCTTGACCTGGTGGCAGCCGCAGATGGAGGTGGAGGCAGCTGTAGTGATGCTGGTCTGCTGGTCCTTGGTGGTGAAGGCTCTGGTGAAGGCCCTTGAGCCACGGTAGATCTTGACCTGGGGGCCGGCACAGATGGATGTTCTGGCTGCTGGATAAACGCCGCCTGTGGGCCACTAGGCCCAGACAGCTGTGAAACCTCTCTGTAAAACAAATTAAAATGTAGGACAATAATTACAACTAATTTCATTGAAATAAAGTTCAAGTAAAATGTTGCTCAAGCACAAATAACAATGCACACATAAAAAAAGTTTGGGAGGTTGGAGAAGGAACATGCACACACACACACACACACACACCACACCCACACACACACACACCACACACACACCACACACACACACACACACACACACACACACACACACACACAGTATTTCCAGTTACTTTACATTCAGTATAAAATCACAGCAACACATATACTAGGCTACATCTGATTACAAAGTCTATCTGATTACAAAGTCTCATCTGTACAGACGGTATGATAAAATAATCGATGGCAAAAACATGTCACTGTAAATGTCTCCGTTGTGGGACGAATAAATGATTAATTTAATCCTCTACACATGTAATCTCACTTTTACACACCAAAATAACGTTAACACAGAGTAAACATTTGCTAATGGAGAGTCTATTTTGTCCAATAAAAAGTTCATGACTATCGATAAAAAATATATATCAATAAACCTATTGTTCATTTTCGCGGTATTCCCCACACATTGCCAGTACACTATTACTGTAATATTTACACTTACCCATGCCCAAATGGATCCTTGTTGTTGTCTTTGTATTCTTCTTCTTCAGAAGAGTCGAAGACTTCACGTTCTGAGGCTCTATCTTCACTGCTGCTAGCGAAATAAATCTCAAGCGAAGTCGGCAACTGTAAATTAGCCATTTTCTCTGTCTCTCTCTCTCTCTCTCTCTCTCTCTCCTCAAAGACGTAAACTGATGGAGACATGGTTTATGTTTTGTTTACTTGGTGGGTAGGTCCTTAGTGATTTCTCGATGTCCATTGGTCATTTCAGACCATGATGGCTGCCGGCCGAGATTTCCTTGACGGACACACGAATCCACCAATCCACAGTGTAAAGTCAAGCTGCTTTGAGCGGCCACATTGGCTGCTGTGCCCTGGTTACAGTCTCACAGGAGATACCGCTGGAAAGCTACTCTTCCAGTGATTCCGCGGATATCTGAATCATATTTCTACTCCTTATAATCGAAAATATTGATTAATTACGTAAAATTATGCGCACCTGGACCCGACTCCAGAGGGTTGCTTCAAAAACAAATGTACACTATTCTGTTTAAGACTGCAACATTAAAAACCCATTTATTTGTACGTGTTCTGACGCCACTCTGCTTGATTCATTCTGCAAAACTGATGGGGATGTAAACACCCCTGCAAAAGGCTGAAACATACAAAAATACAAAGTCAAACCGATGCAGCTTGAAAATCACAAACACACCATTTATATCAGCAGACCTAATAAACAAACTTTCCAATTTTTTTTCAAGAATTCAACCTATTTCATAAAAATAATCTGATTTTGAACTTTTTTTTCCTACAATTTCTATATATTAAATATTAGCCTAAAAGCCATATAAGCAAGCACCCCCCCAAACGGTTATTATGCAATCACCTAAATCCGAAAAGCACTGATGTTGTGTGGGGCCATGTCTGCACCAGCAAGCTGCAATGATTTGTATAAAAACATGTGATCACTTCACATGTCTATTCTCCTTATGCAAAAGTAACAATATAACAAAAATGATGCACATTTGCACTACTCCCATCGTAATCCAGTTCCTCATCATATGACCTCTTCATCTGCCGTGCCGTTACATAACACATTCAGGAGCCAGTGCGACACATCTGCCAGGAGATGGCAGCCTCCACCACATGCTGAAATAAATAAAGAAACATGACATGTAGGTATAGATTGCAACCAGGGGGAAACTGGAAATCCCCGGATTGGGCAGTAAACAAGAAGCATGAGAGTCGGAGAGGGACAGATGACACAGTGGATCCAGCAGGCAGGGACACGACGCTGATCAGGGCGTTCATGTTCGGATACAAACTGTGAGACATCATCCAGCGGTGAGTGCATCCCTCCATCCTGCTGCCTGCCCCTTGCTGTTTTCCATGTCATTATGGGATGTCAAGTTATATAAAATATGTTATACGAGGTTGGATAGTGTTGTCGTAGCATACTACCGTAGCAGAAGGAACTATAATAACGCATTTAAGATGGATGTCGCAGAAAATAACAGGAGCTATGAACTCGACTTAAACATGCTATGGTGTTTTTATTATAAGAATACCGTTAATGTTCATGTACAACATGAGTGACATTTAACATTAATATAGGCTACATTTAAAGCGGGTGGTGTGCATAGTGCACGAAAGCTGCATGCGCGCCCTCGATGCACATGTTCACTTTGCCCACTTTGCAGACACGTGCACACGCACGCACGCTAACTCCGACACCCACTTGTGCGACAATTTGTGTAACTGCCTGACAGACAGGGAGAGAATTGAAGCCACACGGCAGTCAGCTGGAGAAACACTGTCAACAACAACCAGCTCTCTGTTTCACAGCAGTTGTCATTTAGTGTTCACAGTTGACTCGCTTGTCTCTGATGATGCGCAGCTACAGTAGAGACATTAATGCTTGTAATAAAATAGCATATTCATGGTAGGAAAAATCTAAATATGTAATTTAATTACCATATAATTGTTTTGTTTTTCTACCTTTTACCTCATGGTGAATCACTGTCTGCTTCTTCTTTTTTTACACAGTTTACTGTTGTGTGGTTACGGAGTTGGGTTTTATAAAACAATATTTTAAAGAATGAAACAAATTATGAAAAGCATATTTTAAAGGAATAGACATTTTTAGAACAAATATGATTGGCCTACAAAGAGTGATACCATGCTAATAGTAGTGGAGCAAGCAGCTAGTTAGCTCATATACTGGAAAGTTAACAACAAGTTTTGGTTTTGTCCAAATTCTGGACTGTTACTCTTGTACACAGCAAGGCTAGCTGCTTCCCACTGTTTTCAGTCTATATGCTAAGCTAAGCTGGTCCCCTGGTTGCAGGGCCGGCCCTAGACATTTTGGTGCCCTAGGCGAGATTATGATTTTGTGCCCCCCCCCCAAGCAATACACAATAAATATAAAGAATAAATAAAAGATCTCTACAAAAGACCAATACACTACAAAAACTGAAACAGGGGGTTACGTATTGTAACCCTAGTTATATAAGCACAGGCGGAGCCCTCTACTGGACTCTATGGGTACTACTCTCTATCATGCTGTGCGTGCTTTCACCTACTGAGTTTTACGTAAACGTAGCCGGCCAATCGGGGCGAGCCTACCTGAATGCGCGCGCAGGCCCACAGTATATAAGCGGCTACACCCGCACCCATTATCCTATACACTCTTCAGCGAGCGGACTAGGAAAGACAGGGCCTCCAGGTAGAGGGCCGCCTGTGCTTATATAACTAGGGTTACAATACGTAACCCCCTGTTATATTTCACACAGGCTCCGCCCTCTACTGGACTATGGGTACAGTGGGCGGAGCCCCGATGCATACACCCCTGTCATCCACCAACATCGGCCCACCACACCGTCCCTGACCGGCTTTTGGCTAACATCCATTGCATCCCCACTTCCTCCCATCCGGTTGTAACCGTAGAGAAGCCGGGGCCGCAATTTGGATAAGGCACACTCACACACGCCTACCTTGTGTAGAGTGTGCATGGAAAAGATCTGTGCGGATACTCTAACCGCGCACCATGTTCCCCAGGTCCCTCAGGAGCATGGGAAAAAACACAAGTGCTTTATGCCCCGGGGGGGGGGGGGTCAACACCTGCTGACCCACAGCCACCCCCCCTCTCACCAGTCGTGCGTTGCCTCGGCAAGCACGACGACGAGAAGGAGCCAGACATGTCCAGGAGATAACATTTTATGAAGGAGCCTGGCGTAGACCAAGACGCCGCCGTGCATATGTCTTCTACACTCACGCCGCTGAATAAGGCTGTTGACACAGCCACAGCCCGTGTAGAATGTGCACGGACCCCAGTGGGGAGGGCTCTCCCCGCCTGTCCATAGGCATGTGTAATACACTCGCAGAGCCATCCTGCTAGGCGTTTCTTGGAGAGAGCTTTTCCAGCCACCCCATCCCCAAAGCACACAAACAGTTGTTCAGTGCGTCTAATGGCAGCCGTGCGCTCTACATAGCATGCTAGCGCCCGCACTGGGCAGAGGAGGTGCAGCTTAGCCTCCCTGGTCCCAACATGGGGTGGAGGATTAAAGCCACCTAACTGAATAGCCCTTGATCTGAATGAACTCCTCATACTCTTAGGAGTAAAGGAGGGGTTCGGCCTGAGTGTCGCCCCGCTACGGTCACCCCGGATCAACAGACAGCTTGGGTGCACCGACAGAGCGGTCAGCTCGGACACTCTTTTGGCCGAAGTCAAGGCAAGCAGCAATGCTGTCTTCCATGACAGTGCTTTCAGGGAGGAAAGCTCCAGAGGCTCAAATGGTTCTGTGACCAGAGCCTCGAGCACCAACGGCAGGTCCCACTGTGGGGCGGAGGCATGCACTACTGGGCGCTGCCTCCTGACCCCCTGCAAAAACCGCGTCATAAGCGGCTGACTGAAGGCTGACCTGCCTCCAAATCCCTCATGGCAGGACGAAATGGCTGCTGCATACACCTTAATTGTGGAATGAGCCAGCCCCCTGTCCACCAGTATCTGTAAGTAGGTAAGAATAGAGCCCAGCGTGCACGACAGAGGCTTTAGACTCCTTCCTTCACACCATCGCCGGAATCCCGCCCACTTTGGCCTGTAACAGGCTGTGGTGGATTCTGCTCTTGCTGCTTGGATAGTCTGAATAACATTGTCAGACAGCCCCACCTGTCTCAGCCTGTCCCTCTCAGGAGCCAAGCCTGGAGAGGTTGGCCCAGAGGGGGTAACGCCCCTATTGCACCTGCTTCCTGAGACAGCGCTAGACCTGAGGAACACCCAGGGCTGGCCCACCATCATCTGTGTTACCCCCACGTACCACGGTGCCAGGCGGCGATCTGGGGCCACCAGGATGATTGACAGCTGTTCCCGCCTCACCCTCTCCAGGAGGGGGGGGATAAGGCGCAGCGGTGGAAAGGCGTAAAGCAGCTTTCTTGGCCATGGCTCGTGTGCAAATGCGTCGACCCCCAAGGGTGGGTTGTCCCACCGAGCCAGGGAGAACCACAGGGCACAGTGGCTGTTGCGCCGATTGGCGAACAGGTCCGCCTCTGCTCTCCCGAACCGAGTCCAGACCTGCTTCACCACCTCCGGGTGAAGCCTCCACTCGTCTGGCAGGGGTCCGCCTCTTGACATGAGGTCGGCCCCCCCGTTCTCCCGCCCCGGGATATGCAGGGCCCTTAGAGACAACACAATCGGTGAAACCCACAACCACAGGTTCTCTACTGCTGTCAACAAGGCTATTGAACGGACTCCGCCCTGCCTGTTGATGTACGCCACTGTGGTGCGGTTGTCGCTCCTCACTAGCACATGTTTGCCCTGTATTAAGGGTTTGAAGTGCTGTAGGACCAACATCACTGCTTGCAGCTCCAGGAGGTTGCTGTGCCGCGCCTCTGCCAGAGGCCAGCAACCACCCACAGCTCTCTCTATGCACGTCCCCCCCCATCCTGTCACCGACGCGTCTGTGAAGACTGTGATGTAGGAGGTCACTTGCCCCAGTGGAGCTCCCCTCCGCAGATTCTCTGGGGATCCCCAGAATCGGAGGTTGCTCTCTACTGAGGGGGGGATGGTCACCAGACGCCGTTTGTGTCTTTTGAGATCTAAACGAAGGCCGATAAACCACCTCTGCATGCGACGTGCATGCAGGAGTCCGAGTGGCACTACGGTGTGAGCAGCTGTCATGAAACCCAAGGTCTGCATGATGGTCAAAGCTGTCACTGTTGCCCCCTGACGCAGCCTGCAGACCGCCCGTAACAGGGACGCCTGCCTGCTTTCTGTCAGGGTGGCCCGTAGTCTGCCTGCATCGAGCACCACCCCCAGATATTCTACCTGCTGTTGAGGTATGGGGGAGCTCTTCTTCCAATTGATCGCAAAACCTAACTTGGTTAGATGAAGGATCAACTGGGCTGTGTGAAACATTGCCCATTCCCTGGACCTGGCCATGACTATGAGGTCGTCCAGAAAGAACACCCTCATGCCATGGGTCGCGCAGCGGCTGCAGCGCCGTGGCCACACATTTTTGCGTGGGATGGAGTAGCCGAACGGCAGCCTGTTGTACTCGTAGGCTACCCCCTGGAAGGCAAACCGCAAATACTTCCTGTGTT